ACAATTGAAATGAAAACCTAAAGAAAACCTCGGATCCCAATCCCAGACCCGTTACACCGTTAATCAAACAGATCCTATGACTCTGTTCTGATTAACCCACTATGTAGATAGCCCTATACCGCTCCTTACAAAAGTCATTTACTTGATTTTGCTGAAGGAGATTATATAGCTGCTTGGTAGATGACCGTTGCCTTTGAAATAGTCAAGAAAAGGAAAGCTTCCGTCAATACTCATTTGATTTGCTTGATTTCCAACTTTTCATCTTTCAACAATCTCGACACTGTCTCACTTCTCCCGAAACCCTACATCATCATACCAATCGCTGACGTCACCATAATCGCACCACCGTCTCTCTTCTCCAACAACTGAACGTTCCATACAAGCGAAATCCCGTTCCTCCCTGCAAACTTCTGAACAATTGAAGAATCAATCCTCTTCCCTCTCCATTCAAACACATTAAACCCCACCGCCGCCACGATAGAATTCGAGCCTAGGATCGTAATTAAATGATCCTTACCACTGAACCCCACTCTCTGCCGAAGCTCGGGTGCCGCAGCAGCGAATTCACAGCCTCTGCCTGGCATTGATGGAGATCAGCTTCAACTCATCCGCGTCTCCCGGAATTCCAAACTCCAAGCCGGAGCATTCAATCAACGTGTGTTTATTGGTTGAGAATCAAACCGCAATGAATTTAAGGGTAGTAATTGGGGTTGCTTTGATGATGACGGTGACCTTTGAGTGGATGATGAAAATGAAGTTTTGATTGATTAACCATTCGAGCCAAATTTTAATGGATAAATTTTATATCAGTTTTATAAATTTTGGGTGTTGAATAATTAGAACTATACGATATTAGGTATCATATGAGAAAACATCATGACCATCCATTGGCCTACCATCGTCCTTACATCGTGTCTTCCAAGCCCAGCCACCCAGCCACTGATGTTCACTGCTACCTTTTGGTCCATCTCGGCAACAGGTCCCAAGCCTCCTTGGTGTAACTATTAATCACGATCTCATAAATACAAACATTAATCTAGAACAAATCAATTAGCCCACTAAACAATTCCATAGATTGAAAAGAAAGAGGAGACAAAGAATAAAACAATGAAACAAGTCAAAAATTACACTAGATTTCCTTGTTTATGCGAGGGGGGGAGGTGGCGAGTAAGTTAACCGTCATGAGAAATCTGGAGAGGGAATCCACGCTCATGGCGTCGTCTAAATTCAGTGGCTTCATCGGAGCCCCTACCCACCCAGTGCCTCTGGCGATGTCCTCCTCCGCATCTGGGTGAAAAAGAGGTGACAGTGACGGCAGTGGGTCTCAAAGGGTTTGGTTGCTCTTATATAATATCTGGTGGCTCTGCAGGATGCACACTGCGTACGAAAACCTATCGGAATAGGTGGGGGGTGATCGCAAGCCAATCTCACTCACCTTGATCCGTCGTGAGCTCGGCAACGTAGGGACTCGCCGACATCCGTCAGGGAGTACTTCCCGTCGCCGGGGGCGAGACGTGCTCGGATATAACTAGGATTTTTCTACTTCTACTACTAATTGAAGTCATTCACAAACACACACCGCCTAAACCCCTAAAATTTCTTTCCAAAATCCCCCATCTCACGTCTGGTAGTTTCGCTTCTTCTCCGCCTGAAGAAGAATCATGCACAATCTTGGCCTCATTTTCGCCTCCACAAGTTGCATTTTGCATCACTCAATATCCACCTTGAGAGAAATATTTTCCAACTGCAACTATCTTGATAAGATAATCTTGTCCGCCAGATCTTGGGCATGCTTGGTGAAGGACTCTCCAAGCATTCTTTCCACTTCATAGGGGATAACTGTGTCCTTCATTGAAAAGCCTCTCCAATGATTCATAATAGGATATGACAGTTCCTCCGAAGATGAAGACGGTTGTTGGTGGATAGGACAGTTCATCCGTCAAGGTAATATTTTTGTTTGGAGAATTAGCAAATTGCAAACTATAATCCACAAATACAAAACTTACTTCCACCTTAATCCATAACAATTTGCACTTGCTGGTCAATAAATAAGTTTCAATAGTTATTAATATATTTATTAATTTTTTTGCATATGACATGGAAAAATAAAAAGATAATTGATTATGTATCTATTTCAACATAACAAACAAAAGGATAAAATAAAATTGTCTTTGGACTCTCAAAATGAGATGAAATATAGAAGAATACATAAAAAAATATGAAAAAATCAAGGACAGAAGAGGGAAAAGACTTTAGAACATTTTATATGGTTTCGTGGATTTTGAGAGCACTTTCATCCTCCTTGATAGGAAATAAGAGATTTCTTCGAGCTAGAAAACTACTAATAGAAAAACACTAAAAAATGTCCAATAAAATAAAATAAAAAGACATTTTTGTTTTCTTCGTTTCTCTTTTTTTTTCTTCTAATAGTAGCAGTCAATGAAAAAAAATCAGAAATTATGTGGGCCCCAACTTAGAGAAAAGGTATATTTGTTCTCTTTTTCTTTCATATTCTTTTTTTATTTTCTTCCAATTGTTGCAATACGGGAAAAGAGATATGACAATAGTTCTGGGAAAGTAGATTGACGGAGAAGGGGGCTTGTGAAACCGATAATTACTGATTATGTTGTACAATTTTGACATGTTTGAGAGATTTAGGGACACTCGGTTGGAGGAGGACTTTGTGTCTCACTGTCAGTTTGATTCTCTTCTTCTAACTATTTCTATGACTAACGATTTGGTTTACATATGAACCTTAGATGCAACCAAAATGAAAGGCAAAATGAAAGAGATTGGTTGTGCGTCTCTCGTATCTTCGGACACTATCAGGAAAAAGAGTCGAGTGGCCTGCTTTATCGACCCATCTATTATGGTCAACTACTATGGGAAGGGCCACTAGATGAAACCTCATCGAATCAAGATGACTCGCGAGATAGTATTGAAGTACAAGCTCCACAAACATATGGAGGTCTACAAGCCAGCTCCAGCCGAGAATGAAGATCTTCTCAGTTTCCACTCCAAACACTATGTGGAATTCTCGAGGTCTACCTCCTAAAAAAATTTACTAATATGTTCAAGAAAAATGATCAAGCACCCCCTCAAGAAGGTTTGCAAGGGGCAGGACTGTCCGATCATTAATGGCCTCCTCGACTTCTGTAGGGCTTCAGCTAGTGGGCTGATTGAGACGACAACAAAACTCACCAATGGAGAGTTAGACATTATAATCAATTGGACTGGTGGACTCCAGGAGTACAACAGTCTGACCCCAATAAAATGATAAATAAGAAAAATACACTTGAATAAAGTAAAATAAAAAGACATATTTGGTTTCTTTTCCCGTATGTTTCTCTCTCTTTTTCCTTCTTTCTTTCGAGATTAGCAACCAAGGGAAATGAAGGAAATTTTATCACAAATAAATTCATTAAACTGAGATAGTGTACAAAGTAGGTAAAATATAAAGGAAGACTACATCAAAACAGATAAAATAGGGAAATGGTCATCCAACAGACTAACATTGTGTCCAAAGACCCAACCCAAAACACAAAGAAAGCCCATGCGAAGAACCACCCCAACCCTAACTCTTCTTGCATCTCCATAGATGAATGTCGTCGTTGGGAAGAAACATCCAACCAGACAAACTGCGGAAACAAAACCTCTAAATCGATGGAAGACGGATAGGAGATCAAACCAACCCAGTTGGATGGAGGGAGGAAGACGAGTAGAATACCCGAAGAAGCACCAGAAATCTTAAACCCCCCCAAAATCCACTGGACCATACACCACTAGAAGCTCCAAACGCAACCTATGCAAGAGGAGAAGCACCAGTACGATGGGTGGCCAGCATTAGAACCATGAAAATTGAGTCTTTGTCTTCTTGTCTTCTTTCGAGTCCGAGCATCACAAGGTTGGCTACAATCAGAAGTGTAATAGGGAAAAAAGCATACATGAAAGAGAAATAACAAGCAAAATAAAGAGTAGGGCTGCCACCGGCCACCTGAGGGACGCCGATAGCATCCCCAAGGACTTTTGAGGGCGAGAAACTAAGAGAGAGAGCATAGGTTTTACGAAAAGAGATAAACTACTCTTTTAAGTTGAAAGCGAAAGTGAGGGGCATGTTGCGGTCCTAGCCTATGTAAGAATGTGTATTTATTCTCTCTTATTCTTCTTCCACCAATTTCTTTTTTTTCTTCCAACAACTACAATACGAGAAAGAGGAATAGGATGGGTGGGTGGACCCAAACCTCTTGGGCCTTTGCCCCTAAAGTTTGGGTTATATACGATAAATCTGCTTAATAAACAATAAATGCAAAATTATGATTTTTATATTAGAAATTTCAATAAGTAAATTTTTTATAATGTTATCATTTTGCCCTTACATGTAATTATATGTTTGATTTTCTTATTTTGAATCTTAATAAAGTCAACCGCGAACACGTGATTCATTTTACAGCCAACATATAACATATTATTTGAGTTTTTTTTATATATAATAATACTATATTTTATTTTTAACGATAATTGTATGTTAACTTTCTTCACAAAGTTATATAATTTTATAACCAAATAAAAATTATATTTGAAACCGATCTTCTAAATAGTAACCACTATTTTACTATATATAATCGAAAAGTATTAATAAGATATAACAGGAAAGTATTGTTTGAAAATAATTGGACTTTTTGAAAAAAAAATAGAGAATTGTTAGTATTGTGTATATGAAAAAGTGAGGAGTAATATTGGAAATAGGCGACGAAAATATGAGTTATTTGATGTCGTATTTGCAAAACCACTTGTTTTGTTTTTTGTTGACAAACGAGTCATCAAATAACTCAATTATGTCGTTTGATAACAAATAATCATGCAAATGTAGAATTTAGAAGACCCATAGAGTAGAGATAAGTATTATTAGTCATTTAATAGTGATGAGTAATATTGGAAATGGGCCATTGCAAGTGCCGCTTGCGTCCTCCCCTCGCATTCGACATTTCTCCTTCTTTCAGTCAGAACTCAGAAACCATGGTTGATGGACGGAAGATCACGGCACAAGAGAAGGGGAGCGGTAGCCCGGGGTCGTCGTCGTCGACGGGAAAGGGTGTTTCGAGAACCTTCAGTTTCAGTAGGCGAATGGCTGACAAGTAATTCAAGGGGAAGAAGCCGGCTCTGCCTGAGCCGATCCCATTCGTGCAGGATAGCGAATCACTCATGTTTTCCTACACCGGGGAGGAGTGTTCCCTGTTTAGAGACATGAAAGATTTGAACAATGCGTTGGAGGCTGGTCAGGCTCTGATACCATGTTGAGAAATCAGAATACGGTGGAAACTGTTATGTATTATTACTAAACCATATAGAGTTTATATAGAGTACAGAGACAGACTTCTATAATAACCCTAACACTAATAGGGAAGTTACATAACTTCTACGAATCTAATAAGAAATATAACGCTGCCCAATTACATAATAGTACTCGTAGTATAACATATAACTACTTGTACTACCCATACTCTCTTCTATAATAACCCTAACACTAATAGGGAAGTTACATAACTTCTACGACTCTAATAAGAAATATAACTCTGCCGAATTACATAATAGTACTTGTAGTATAACATATAACTACTTGTACCACCCATACTCTAATAGTTATTTGGTGTTGCATTTTTAAAACCACTTATTTTGTTTTTTTTTTACAAACGAGTCACCAAATGCCCCAATCATGTAATTTGATAACAATTTATCATTCACATGTGGAATTCAAAAGATCCATATAGTAGAAATAAGTATTATTAGCCATTTAATCAGGAGCGGAGCTACAACTAGGGGGGCTCCGAGAATCTCAAACGTCATTTGTGAACTCGTCGTGCTTACTGAAACTTTTGTATAAAATAAAGTTAAGGGTGCGCCTATGGTGACATGCATGTCAGCGTAACTTGCACTTTTCGGTCGATCTCAGTTAGGATTAGTTTGACCTAATATGTTGCTTCAGTGTAAAAACAGTTTCATGGTGCCTACTTTGAAGATTCATATCTTACAATTGACTTGATGGAAATTGGATATTAATAGCTTGTTTTGAAGCTGGAGTGTCTCTCTACACATTGAAGTGCTTGGGAGCTCGATAGGAACTCGAGAAGACCATTTTTGAACCTGATCAAAAGGCTATGTCAAAACTGCCTGAACCTCGCCCGAACCCCACCCGATTGACACTTCTACTCATAGGTTAAAACCGTTAATTACTGACCCTGTTCTAAGCCCAACACAGGAGGCCTCGCCCATGGTATTATCATTCATCATTTCCCTGCTTTTGTCGAGCTGAGCTGGATGCGAAAAGTGCCAGGCTGGCACCCGTTACTCCAGGATGATTTCGGGTTTTTCTTCTTTCCCAACAGAGGCCCATGATTAAAAAAAAACTGAACGGTCCAGATCTCTCCAATTTCCCTCTCTTCATAATTTAAGTACCTGTAAATTGTTTCCTGCAATTTTTGGGCACCCCTATTTCAGTCACTTCAATCCTCTGCCTCCCGTTGCCGAACGCGACGAGAAAGTACCCAAAAAAACACCGCAAAAAGATAAAAAGGATAGAAAGAAAGCGAACAACGTAGAGGAGGAGAAGCACAAGGAAAAGCGCCACAGCTCCCGCCCACTGTGGTTGTGGTGGCTTTGTTTTCCGGACGAGCCCAATTTGAGGGAAAACAAACCCGGCAAAGGGATAGATAAACTCCTCCCAGAAGGAAAATCTCGCTGCATACGCGGGGAGTGCGTGCCTGTAGATCCGACCTGCATTTTGCTTCTAAGGTTAGCTCCCCTATCCGCTCCGTGCTTCCGTTTCGGTTCTGGGTCTTGCTTATTTTTTGGTTTCTGGATCTGGGTAGCTTCTTGTTTCTTAGATTCTTCCCCGAAATTTCTTGTCAAGCTGAACGAATCCGTTGTGGGTTTTTGTGTTTGTTGTTGGGCTTGAGAGAAAATCGCTCGCCGTGGTAATTGAGGGCTGGAAAGCCGATTCTTAGTGCTGCATTGTCCGATTTGTTTGTCTGTTTGATGGGAATAGCTGCGTACAGTTTAAACAAGATCTTGATTCTTATCCCCTTCTCGAATTAATATTAGTTAGTTTGGCTCTGATGGCTATCAAAATTCCGCGTCATGGAAAATTCAGCTTGTGTGGATGTAGATGTAGAGTTGAATTCTACCCGCTCCTTTCCTCCTCCCGTGGGTCCCGCTTAAAGTAGATGCTCCTTGATTGTTCTCTCGTTCTTACCGTCATGGGAAATATCTGAGTCATCTTAGAACGACGTGAACTCGACGGTTGTTGGTTAGCATCATCAATAGATCTTATGTGCCAAATGTCAAAGCATGAAACGATTTGCATGGAACCCATTTGGCAAGTTATTTAATTGCTGCAACGTTTCAAGATTGATCTGTTAGATTGACATGGATATTTCTTCTCGTTGGTGTAGTAGTACCTCTTTCTCCAGCTAAAGCTAATTAGGCGCTCAAGATGGTGGCCCAGGGGTTTGTAGTTGATCTCAATAAACCACTTGTCTTCCAGGTAAAATTGCAATCCCGGTTTTGATGACCTGATTGCATTTCATAGTTGATCTGGAGGTTTGAATTCTATTCAAAGCAAATCACCAATGTTTTCACCTGTGATTCTCGTTCTCATTTTTCTTCCTGTCCAAACTTTGGCTTTTTGACTTCTCTCAAAATATAGCATCTAAAGTTTACTTCTTTCTGTTATTCTAGTTGCATTTACTTGTATTTAAGCTTTACAACCCGTTTGCAGGCATATCAGGATTTCTCGTTGGTGATTTCTGAATGTTTGGAGTAGTCTCATTCTCTTGTGGTTTTCCTATAGGTTGGTCATCTGGGTGAGGCATATGATGAATGGGTTCACCAGCCAATTGTTAGCAGAGAGGGTCCTAGGTTCTTTGCTAATGATGTTATGGAGGTACTGTTTTGTTGCTTAACTTTGCCAGCTTTCCCAAGCTTTGCTTTATTATTCCGAACTATGCATCTAAAAGTTTTTATTGTATTTCTTCAATAGGCCTTAACTCGTACAGTTTGGTGGGCGATTCCAGCCATCTGGATTCCAGTTGTATGCTATTTCGCTGCAATGTCTGCACGAATGGGCCTCGCTATTCCCGAGGTTGTTTCGTTGTTGTGTTTGGGTGTTTTCCTATGGACACTAGTAGAGTACACCTTGCATCGCTTCCTTTTCCATATTAAGACAACTTCTTACTGGTTAGTCTCTCTCTCTGGTTGAGCCTAAGTTAATGTTCATTCACAATATTGGAACCCTTCATTTTATCAAGTTTATAAATCTTTGGTGTTGCTCAACGTGCTTCAGGGGAAATACTGCACACTATCTCCTTCACGGTTGCCATCATAAGCATCCCATGGACGGTCTGCGCCTTGTCTTTCCTCCCGCAGCAACAGCTATTCTATTAGTACCAGTATGTGCATTGTTACCTGTTATCTTGTTTCTTTTGATAGTTACACATTGCATGGAATATTAGGAATAGAGTCTGTGGAGCAGATTCCAACTAGTGTTTATATACCACTGTTGGATAATTGACTTGAATTTCATCTCCTTTTTTCTTTATGGCAGTTCTGGAACTTTGTTAAGCTTCTGTCCACGCCCACGACTGCGCCTGCTCTTTTCGCTGGTGGTTTGTTGGGGTATGTTATGTACGACTGCACACATTACTACTTGCACCACGGGCAGCCATCGAATGAAGTTCCTAAACATCTCAAGGTAAGAAGGCTCCTTTGCCTACGTTACTTCCATGTGAATGCATGCAAATTTGTGGTGGTTGCAAGTGATGTTGATGTGGGTTTATCTGGTTTTGTAGAAATATCACATGAATCACCACTTCAGAATCCAAGACAAGGGGTTTGGAATCACTTCTTCCCTGTGGGACAGGGTGTTTGGAACACTTCCTCCATCGAAAGAAGCCAAAAAGAGTAGATGATAAGTTTGGATATGGGAACCAGTGCAGTCCAGAGTAGAGAGACGGGAACACACCAGCTGGTGGGGGATATGAAGAAGGAGAAGGAAAGGGGAAGTAGTGGTGGGTGCTTTCTCTGGATGTTTTCGATGCTGTGTTTTTTTTCCGCTGTCCCTAGACCATATATAAAATATTAATATTCATTCTTGTATCTGTTCGATTGATTGGTTTGGTTGGTAGCTTGGCAGATTAAAGGGAAAAAATCTGGGTTTGGGAACAACTTTGTAGCCTTCTGGTTTTTTGTACCTATGCTATGTGGGTTTTGCTTGAGCATCTCTGAGTTCAAATCTCTGACGAGAATAGAAGAAAAATATATCAAACAGAAAAAAGAGAGTTGTTATTGATTGTTGTCATGTTGACTTCTATCTCTCCCTCTCTCTGGAAAGCAAAGTAATCATCTCCAATCAGGCTACAGTTCTAACGCTCTTCAATTGCCCTACGACCCGTGCTGTTGCTTTTACAGAACCATTTGAAGAAGATTGTTTGCTAGTGTTCGTGAATGAATGAAATGAACCCAAACAGAGAAGGAAAAGGAAGGGGTATAAAATGATAAGAAAGATGCTGAAGGATCAGATTTGGAAGTGCTGTTCTTCTATCAAAATAGACCAAGATTTGTTCATTATTATGGTAGGGCATCGTTGTCTGCAATCACGTTGAATGTCTGTCTTCAGTCTTAACTCTTAATTGAACAAAACCAGCCAAATATAAGTCCAGCGCTGAGATGAGCGGCACGTTGCTCACTGCACTGGCGTTTTTGCTCCTTTGATTCTATCATCCAACTGATTGTATTCGGTTTTTAGTGAGAGATGTGATTGTTGAGCCCTTACTACAGGCCACATTGCTCCAAGTTCTAACAAGGAAGCCTTGCTAGTTCACTTTTGATATCGTAGATTATATTACAATTCATAATTTTTTCGTAATTTGCGAATGAGTTTGCTTAAGTGACATGTATTGAAGGAGCTCTATTACGGATGGACATTAAATAGTTGAGTACTTGACCGATTCCAATTCTCTCACTGACTAACGTGGTTTGTTGAACCTGACTGACCAACGCATAATAAGTAGTCGGAGGAGTGGGGCGAATGAGTGAAACATGTAAAACATAGTGTTTGTGAATCTATATCGTACGGGTGGTTCGATTGGAATAACCTTTTACTAGAGTTTAAACCAATATGCTGATTTTATCGGTACGAAACAGTTGAACGATGACTAATCCACAATTTCAACATAAATATTTTTTTTAACACAAAATACCATACTACTAACTTTTTCAATACAATTTCTGGTACGATCTTACAATCTTTGACAAAAGTTGACCGATGGTTTTAGGCTCCTCATTTTGCGAAGGGTATTTCGATATATATGCAAAACATGATGATTGGATGTACGGGTGGAAATCGGTACGGTATCGGTATCCCAATACCAAATACCGAAATCCCGAATACCTAATTACACCCTAAAATCAATTCCAATCCCAATCCCTAACTAATTTTGGTATCCCAATTCCAATCCCTAAATATTTCGGTATTCCAATCGGTACTTCGGTATCCCAATCGGTATTATCGATTACGAAGTTAATTATCTTTGCAATTAATAATTATATATAAAAATTAGATTTTATTGTTTAATTTAAGGCAAAGAGACTAAGCAAAGAGTCTCGAGTTTGCCTAGACCTAGGATATGGATAAGAAGAATGGAGAAAAGGTGACATCTCGAATTCTTGTCATTGGTAATATTTAATTTGAAGAATTGGAGGCAGAGAGACAACTAATACTAGTGTTTATTTTTTGGTGTTGTGAAAATAACAAGAGATTAGGTGCGAGACGAGAGTGACTTAAACTGAAAAGTCAAAATTGAGTTGGATGGGGGCTTCTAAGTTGTGAAAGATTAAGGAATGATCAAAATTTGTGTGCTATATTTCATTAATTTTTGGTATTTCTCGGTATTTTGGTATATACCGATCACAATTCCGTAATCCCGAATAGCACTCTCAAATGAATCCCCATCCCAATCCCTGAAAAATACGCCGGTATTCGGTAATACTGAAGAGTGATAAATTCGGTATGGTATTCGGTATATCCCAAATACCGATGCCAAACTTCCAACCCTAATTAGATGCTAAATTAAGTATAGTTTTGTGAATTAATGGATGTTGTAGGATTGGATGGTTTGAATTCGCATTAACAATGATTATATTTTTTTTATTTCATAGTTTATTAGGATCATTTAGTGTTATAAGTTATAACCAACAATTTGCATATTTATTAAGCTTTATTATAATAATAATAATCTATAGAATAATATTTAGTACTTTGCTACGGTGACTTGCACAAAACGGTCGACCTGTTCACTGATATGATCGACCTATTTGGACAAAATGGGCTACCACTTCCATCAAGTGGTCTACCTCTTTCCCAAAACGGTACACCTCTTTCAATAATTGATCCACCTAATGAACCATTGCTAGTGATATCATCATATATAATTAGAGTCCAATAACAATAAATATGCTTGTTTGTAAGAGGTTTAAAATTAATACAAATGCTGCAAGCATAGGTGACAAGTTTCTCGAGTGATTGTTCTCCCGTAGATTTGAAAAATGTTCCACATATTTAATTCTTATATTTGACTTACTTTATAGAGACTTTTATCTATCCTTCAAATTCTAAGTTTTCTTGTTTCTATAATATAGTTGTCTTGTGATTGATCAACTTTCTTGCTATTATTGTTATGAAGATGCTCAAAAAGTATACTATATTTGTTATACAGTATGTAATCTTCAACTTCCATAAATCTCATACCATCGATTTTGTGGATTTTTATTCCATAAAAGTTAAAAGAGGGTGTTTCTTTTTGTTTTGGCCTATAATCTGCGCAGGGCTATGGTTGCCCACATGTGATAGGATGTTGCGTGTCCATTATTTTTCTAATGTACGCATAAGGTAACTGTGTCATCTAGTCGACTGTTTGCCGAAAGCGGAAATCGTTTGCCGAAAGAGGTACGTAAACCATTTTGCGGAATCGGTAGGCTGTTTTGGTGGAAGCAGTCTACCTCCTCCAACAAGCAAGTGTAAGTTGAAGGTTAGTGTGTCACAGGTCGACTCATTGCTAGAAGCGGTAGACCGATTGCCTCAAGTGGTAGACCGCTTGGTGGAAGTGGTAAACCATTTTTTTGGAAAGTTGTTGCTCACTTGGTGGAAGAGGTCGACCACTTAAAAGTAATTAGTAATTGTGTTATCAGGTCGATCCATTTCCGAAAGCGGTAGACCAGTTGACTCAAGTGGTAGACTACTTGGTGGAAGAGGTCGACCACTTGAAGGTAAGTGTGTCATCAGGTCGACTCATTTCCGGAAGAGGTAGACCGGATGACTCAAGTGGTCGACCATTTTTTCCAAATTATGGTGACTTGCAAGTTACTATAGGCATACCCTAATATAAAATATCCGAAAGTGCAAAGGATGAGTTTGCAAAACTTCCTCTTAGTATGACACTCATACTAACTTATATTTTTAAAAATAGGAATGAAAATAATTTAGATAAATCCATTACAATTTCTAATTATAAGTGACCATCAAACCAAATCAACAATGTGTTGATCAGTTGGATGCGGTGCGTACCTCCAAAAACCAACTCGTTATGGATGTATTTAAATTGTATTCTTACATTAATTATGTTTTCGCCCGGCTAATTGAGCTCCCCATATAGCAACAAAAAGTGAATAAATTGGACATGAAAGAAATAATCCATTATCGTGCATTTACAATCGAAGTTGAATGGTTTCGGTCGAAGAAAATCCAACCAATAGCTTTTTTTTTTACAAAGATATAAGTTTGATTTTTTCCCCCGTAATTTATAAGTTTGATTTTTAATTAGGTAAGATATACGAATTTGAGACTTCCAGATTCAAGATTAGTAGTATTACCATTATATCAAGAACTTGTTTGTCCAACGGATATTATTTTTGGGTAAATTTTATCCAACCCGACAAAGAGAATAATGAGTTTGGTGTGATTTGATTTTTTATGTATTCAGAACGAATCCATTCAAATACGTGCTACAACTATGATTTCGATCACTAGTTTCAACACTTCAGTAATCCATATCTGCCAAGTAATATAACTATCTTTTAGACAAAAATTCTATTAATTTTCCGTCATTTTTATAAACAATATCTTAACAAAACTAATTAAAAAAATATCCTAACAAAACTTAAAAACAACACAAACATTCTAAGAAAAAAATCACTTTACTTATTCATAAAAAATCACTTTTTAAGAAAAAAAATTATATATTATTATAGAGGATGATGCATATTGATTTTCTTCGAATCTCATCCGGATAGGTTTTGTTATGTGATTTTATATTTTCTTCTATTTTTAACTTCGAGAACTGTTCTGATTTTAAAATTATTATTTTGAATAATATATAGAAAAATCATACCCGGCCGAACTTTTTGTCATACTAATCTATAAAATTTATGAAGCAGATTCATGGCCTACTTTTGCAGGGATTCAAAATTGGAGCCTTCTGAGAGCTTCACGGCGGGGCATTATGGTCTTTTCATCATCTGGCCGCTTAATGAAGTGCACCGCCGTTTTGGGCTGGAATTAATTGGCTGGCTAATTGCGGGTTTGGTTACAAGTTAGTCGGTGGGTTGATTAACAAATTTGGGCTTCCTGGCCGATTAATGAAGCGAAATGGGCTAATAATAGTGAAGTTAAATTCTAATTGCTGGACTTGGCCCATAATTGCGTTGCCTAAGTAGAATTGGAAAAGGTTAATTCTGTATTTGGTTTTTGGAATGAGTGTCAAGGCTAATAGCTTTTTAGGTTTTTCGTTTTACAGTATCCGTCGTCCCGTGGTCGTCGTCCCTGCGTTCCTTATCTAGAATTAGCAAAGGCAAGAACAGAATCAGGTTTTTGGAATATATGAAGTTAGTGTTGAGGCTTTTGGAATATATGAGGTCATTGTTGAGGCTAATACCGTATCATGTTTTTGTTTTTCCAGTATTCATCGTTGTCGTCGTTCGGTTTCTCCATCTATTGGTGTGAACTGGATACTAGGATGGTTCGTATTGAAGATGCTCCTGGTTCTTCTTCAGCAATAAATCGACTTCAGCAAGATGCTCGACTTCAGCAGGATGCTCCTGATCCTTCCTTGACAATAAAACGACATCAGCAGAATAGGGGTCAATGTTAGTTTCGAGATGATGACATATATGAATTTGATTCTTTGTATGTTGTTTGGAGGGGAGGAAGTTATACATTGGTAGTCACAACCATTTAATTTGCAGGGTTGAGGAGGGCTATTTGCAGGCCACCTAAACATCCTCCACAAAAACAAATTGTGGCTGCACGAGCCCGTCTTAATCAACGTAATTGATCCCTTTATTTGTGTTTTCTACTACTTCTAAAAATATTGTTGTGGTGTATGTTATTTGTTATCGTATACAATGTTTTCCTTCGCAGGGATTGATAGGTTAAATGTTCAACTTCGCCAAATGGATCTACTGTTGCCTCAATTCCATCGCAAGCAACGTGGTATAATTATGAATAGGCGT